ATATTTGTGATATTTCGATTTAGGTATATGTGAAGACGATTGTCTTAATTGCGGAGAATGTATATAGAATCCTATATTTATAATAATGACTTTTCTATAATTATTTATACAAGTGAAGAATGTTGTGAAACTTTAAAATATCTGAAGATATACTTGATCGTATTTCGAAGAAACAATTTAGATTATTATTAATATATTAGATTTTTAAAAAATTCCTCATTATATACTTATATTTGTGATATTTCGAATTAGTTATTCATGAAAAGTATTGTCTTAAGCACGAAGAGTGTATATAGATTTCTATATTTATAATAATGGTTTTTATAAAATTCTTTGTGTAAGTGAACATCGTCGCGAAACTCAATAATATCAGGAGATATACGTGATCGTATTTCGAAGAAACTATTTAGATTTTATTTGACGTATAAGATTTATAAATAATACCTCATTTTATATTTATATTTGTGATATTTCGATTTAGTTATATGTAAAGACGATTGTCTTAATTGCGGAGAATGTATATAGTTTTCTATAATTATAATAAAGATTTTTCTATAATTATTTATACAAGTGAAGAACGTTGTGAAACTTTAAAATATCTGAAGATATACTTGATCGTATTTCGAAGATTCTCCTCACACTATTTTAGATATATTAGATTTTTGGAAAATACCTCTTTTTATACTTATTTTTCTGATAATATTTCGATTTAGTTATACACGAAGAGTACTGTCTTAATTACGAAGAATATATATAGATTTCTGTGTTTATAATAATGATTTTTATATAGTTATTTATATAAGTGAACATCGTCGCGAAACTCAATAATATCTGGAGATATACGTGATCGTATTTCGAAGAAACTATTTAGATTTTATTTGACGTATAAGATTAATAAATAATACCTCATTTTATACTTATATTTATGATATTTCGATTTAGTTATATGTGAAAAGTACTGTCTTAATTGCGGAGAATGTAGATAGATTCCTGTGTTTATAATAATGATTTTTATATAATTATTTATACAAGTAAACAACGTTGTGAAACTTTTTAATATCTGAAGATATACTTGATCGTCTTTCGAAGATTCTCCTTACACTATTTTAGATATATTAGATTTTTAGAAAATACCTCTTTTTATACTTATTTTTCTGATAATATTTCGATTTAGTTATACACGAAGAGTACTGTCTTAATTACGAAGAATGTATATAGATGTCTATGATTATAATAATGATTTTTATATAGTTATTTATATAAGTGAACATCGTCGCGAAACTCAATAATATCTGGAGATATACGTGATCGTATTTCGAAGAAACTATTTAGATTTTATTTGACGTATAAGATTAATAAATAATACCTTATTTTATACTTAAACTTATATGATATTTCGATTTAGTTATATGTGAAGACGATTGTCTTAATTGCGGAGAATGTATATAGATTTCTATGTTGTAATAATGATTTTTATATAATTATTTATACAAGTAAACAACGTTGTGAAACTTTTTAATATCTGAAAATATACTCGATCGTATTGCGAAGATTCTCCATACACTATTTTAGATATATTAGATTTTTAGAAAATACCTCTTTTTATACTTATTTTTCTGATAATATTTCGATTTAGTTATACACGAAGAGTACTGTCTTAATTACGAAGAATGTATATAGATGTCTATGATTATAATAATGATTTTTATATAGTTATTTATATAAGTGAACATCGTCGCGAAACTCAATAATATCTGGAGATATACGTGATCGTATTTTGAAGAAACTATTTAGATTTTATTTGACGTATAAAATTAATAAATAATACCTTATTTTATACTTATACTTATATGATATTTCGATTTTGTTATATGTGAAGACGATTGTCTTAATTGCGGAGAATGTATATAGATTTCTATGTTGTAATAATGATTTTTATATAATTATTTATACAAGTAAACAACGTTGTGAAACTTTTTAATATCTGAAGATATACTTGATCGTATTTCGAAGATTCTCCTTACACTATTTTAGATATATTAGATTTTTAGAAAATACCTCTTTTTATACTTATTTTTCTGATAATATTTCGATTTAGTTATACACGAAGAGTACTGTCTTAATTACGAAGAATGTATATAGATGTCTATGATTATAATAATGATTTTTATATAGTTATTTATATAAGTGAACATCGTCGCGAAACTCAATAATATCTGGAGATATACGTGATCGTATTTCGAAGAAACTATTTAGATTTTATTTGACGTATAAAATTAATAAATAATACCTTATTTTATACTTATACTTATATGATATTTCGATTTTGTTATATGTGAAGACGATTGTCTTAATTGCGGAGAATGTATATAGATTTCTATGTTGTAATAATGATTTTTATATAATTATTTATACAAGTAAACAACGTTGTGAAACTTTTTAATATCTGAAGATATACTTGATCGTATTTCGAAGATTCTCCTTACACTATTTTAGATATATTAGATTTTTAGAAAATACCTCTTTTTATACTTATTTTTCTGATAATATTTCGATTTAGTTATACACGAAGAGTACTGTCTTAATTACGAAGAATGTATATAGATGTCTATGATTATAATAATGATTTTTATATAGTTATTTATATAAGTGAACATCGTCGCGAAACTCAATAATATCTGGAGATATACGTGATCGTATTTCGAAGAAACTATTTAGATTTTATTTGACGTATAAGATTAATAAATAATACCTCATTTTATACTAATATTTATGATATTTCGATTTAGTTATACACGAAGAGTACTGTCTTAATTACGGAGAATGTATATAGATGTCTATGATTATAATAATGATTTTTATATAATTATTTATATAAGTGAATATCGTCGCGAAACTCAATAATATCTGGAGATATACGTGATCGTATTTCGAAGAAACTATTTAGATTTTATTTGACGTATAAGATTAATAAATAATACCTCATTTTATACTTATATTTATGATATTTCGATTTAGTTATACACGGAGAGTACTGTCTTAATTACGAAGAATGTATATAGATTTCTGTGTTTATAATAATGATTTTTATATAATTATTTATATAAGTGAACATCGTCGCGAAACTTTATAATATTCGAAGAT